AGCTAAAAAATCCTTCAGGCTTAGTTATGCTCTTCCGAATCTGGAGGGAGTGTCTTGAGAACACCCCAAATATACAGATGAGTCTAGGTGGTTAGCTAAGGAGTTCGTGCAATTCAGAATCATCCAGGTGAGTAAACTTGGGGAAGTGGGTTGTGTGGGGTCGCGGTGGGGTGAATGAGTGTAGTTGTCATTTTGTTTCCCACGGTTTGGGTGGTAACCAAGTGACTCTAGAATTAAAATTCACTTTGGAGATTCATTACGGTCAGTAAAGTGATGGCGACTTACCTTGAGTAGCTGAACCATTTGTCATTCGGTCAGGAGTGTATCGTTGATGTCCATTGGGTAGTTTGAATCCGGGTTGGAAGACAGAGTAATCTATGGATCCGGTGAAATCCTTTTCACCTAAGTATACCAGTATTATAAACAATAATAAAAGCAAATCCCCACGAGAAAAGGGAAAGTGAAGAACTTTCGGTAAAACTTCGTTCAAAGGACAGACAAGTAAATTAGCTGAACTAACTTTAATACCAGTGACAGATTATCTTCCACATATCGCAGAGGTAAATGTATTTCAACAAGGCTTTAATTACTGTACATTGTACCGATGTGGGATACTGCAAGCACTATAAGAGGACTTACCGGCATCCCAGGGGTCATTGAACTGACTGTCCATCCCCAACTGGTCGCTGTCTAACCCACCGGATTTCGCGGTGTGACGTTTTCGACCCAGGCGTTTTCGGCGGCAACAGCAGACCACGATGATGATGATTACAACTGAAACAGAATAGAAATCTGTTACATCAACACCAAAGTTTAGTGTGCCCAATGTGGTCGCAATTTCATTCAGTTAGCTTGACCAATAAGCCAGAGTAATGCAACCATCCGCTTAGCTTCCATTAGATTATAGTAGTAGAATTTCGAATAGTTATCGTATAGCAACCTGTAGTACGGAAAACTGTCTCCGAACACTAAACATTCGACAGTCCTTTAACAATGCACAAGTATAATTGGTGTTTATCGTATACCCCCGAACCGCTACGAAGTTGGCTCATTTGGCTTATTCAGTAGGTTCCACACTCCTAGGATGGTCTTAATAGGAGATCACATTTCTAAGCCGAATAATAGGTTCTAATCAGTTGTTCTCGACCAAGAAAGTTTCGAAACCCTAGTTTTGTTCATAATGACTTGATTTCGAGAAGAAAACGATGCTAAGCTGCATGGTGGAAAGCAGAAAACGACTTATGGCGTCAAGCATCTGTCCCAAGGGTCAGTGTTGTAGTGAAAGAAACAGAAACAGTGGAGAGAAACAGAAATGGAAGCAATAAGAGTGAGGGTTGATGATAGTCAAACACACTTGAATATACCTAATCAGCATGTCAGACTCACTGTTTCGAGTTAAACGCTGTTGAACATTAGACATAGCAGATATATAAAGGTTTATCCAGTAGAAAAGAGTCATGCTTGGTCTGAACTGATGCAATAAGCTGGAAAGCCATTTTCAACTCAATATTCGGAAGCACAAGAATTTTCTTTCGTGGTATGTTGATACATTCATCCAGATTTGTTGTTTCCCTTCTTTTATACCGAATGGATACCAATAAAAAAAGGGTCCCCGGCTGTCTTTTGGAAGTTTTAATAAATCCACAGAGTAATTGCAAGTTAAGTTTTTCCTTTTTAAAATCTCTCTACCCTTGGTACTCTCCTGAGGTGCAGTTTTCCAGGTTCTTAGAAGACCAGATTTTTGAAGCACAAAAGTTTTTATTACCAATGGTAATATTACCAATCGTAACGGTCGCACAGTTCAAAATTTCACATATCCGGCTTGACCTTGAATAGTGATAGTGTGAGGAATGCTGTGCAGCTGAAGATATGCAGCCCATGCAACTTATAGAGAAAGGTGAATTATTGGTTCCTCATAATATTTATGGGAAAACTGTTTCACATTCACGTTAACAACATTGGAAATGGGTTGACTGAAGCACGTTTGTAGACGGTCTGTTGAAAGTGAGACCCTAATAGCCGCCAAGTAAAAGGACAGCTTACTTGGAACTGAATGACTTTTTAAGGTAAGCATTTGCGTAAATTCTATGCAGCGCTTCTTCTGCCCACCCCTTTGGTATCCTACTGTCAGATTTAATTGGCGTGCATTTTGGAAAGAAGAATTACAGCGTGTACTTCACTAGCGTTGTCCGGGCAAACTTACTGATGAGTATGATCAGCAACACGATTAAAAGTATCCACCACCAGGCGAAACCGGCTTCTGCAACACCGCGTTGCTCACACAAATCCCCGGTCCATCCAGTGTCACATGTACACGTGAAGTTTTTGTCCATTGTAGTGGCATTACAGGCCCCGTGGGCACAAGGATTCGGAACGCATTGTTCTGGTAAGCAAATACCTTTGGGATTCATCTTCATTCCAGCAATACAACTAAGGGGTAAAATTGAGAACCAGAACAAGACGTTGGGAATTTTTGACAAGTAACGAGGAAGAAACTTCATCTGTATAAACGGGGAACGGTTCAATGTATAGATCATAAAGATGTTTTCACAATATCTCAGCTATTTTGCCTATATTGTGTGAGGACAAAAACTTCGGGAGGGGGACGCTCAAGGAGGTTTTATCTCTTACACCCATTAGGCACAACTAAACAAAGCCTAGTTATCAAAACACACATGGGGAGTGAGTCTTCACACAAACCTGGATATAGGAAACGCTGACGCGCGGTCCAAATTTTACCGGAGAATCTCACAGGGGCTACTGGTTCAATACCTGGCTCATCCAATAATACTTTAGGAATATAACACCCACTGACGGTTAACTAAATGTCCCCAACTATCCAGGTCCCCAGAAATGTTCTGATACAGTTAAGCCATGCACTTGGTATTTAGATAAATACTATTTTGAGATGAAGATCAAAGGGAGACTGAAGGAATTTTTACACACTACACGAGTGTGATAAGTCACGGATTGGTCTTCAACCCAAGAGGGTGAATCACAAACCTGAATAATATGCGATCAAACTCTGGTGTATGCATCAGACTAGCACCGCTAGGCTCCACAAGGTAGTGATTGCTCATCATCTGAAAAATCTGAGTATGGTCCTTTTGGATATGACGTGGAACTGATGCCGTCTGAGAGGCCGCAAAAAACCGTAAGAATAACCTACAAGGTGTTTCGCTGACGTGGAATTCCACGGAAGGATTAGGAATTCGTTGCATGACAGCATCAGGTATACATCTAACCGACGAAATTTTTCACTATCAGTCCGCTCCCGTGCTCCAAGTAGTGCGGTGTGGAGGATGATGGAGCGAGTTTAGCTTCTGGGTGGCTATCGGTCGCACAGTTCTCAGATACTCCGATTTCTGAGCAATTTAAGTGCTCGGTAAGCTGTTACTACTCATCAAATATTCATATCCCCTTGCAGGTGGATACTACAGTTGATCTGTACATCTCAGTGTAGTTGATTTTTCATTAAAAATGTAAAATGACACATCAGCAAGGCCGACTTTTGTCCCTTATAAATGACATTTTCGTGGAGAACTTCATTTTATGGTTAACTTTGATCACTTGAAGTCTAATTAAGAAAACTAAGTTAATTTTACTATGTTATAACTGTGAAAACGCCTTCCTATAAGTTCATTGTTTGTTTCTCTCAAAACTTTTAAAAGTGTTTTTTATGAGTAAACGTCTATACTTCGGACTCACTCGCACCGATATCCTCTCCATTCATCTACGCACACAGCACTTGGGTCACATGGAGGTTTGGGGTCAGAGTTGCACAAACTAATCCCAGCAGAACATGATTGCTGGCGGCCCTGTACAGGCCAGTCAGTGTGTCGCGCGTACCACGGATTTGCGATAACTTCTAGTGGGTAATCGTGCTGAATGTTCCTCCAGTTGCTATCAAAATCCACCCATGCATCATCAAGACAGGCTGCGGGAAGGGGAAGAATTAGACTTCATGAGTATACCTAAGAGAGCTGGGTGAAAACTAGTGTATTTACCTGGAGATAACAGGTTATGTGGCCGTTATGTGAGCACTCTCGTGAAAAGACCCCTTTAAGTAATGCAAAGTTGAACGGTGACATACAGGGCAAGAATAACTACGATATTACAGTTGGCATCTGATCATTCCCTGGATTCGTCCACAAGCGTCATTTATTAACTGATAAGTTTGCTTCGTTTTCCAAATGTCAAGCAGAATATAAATCTTCCGTCTTCTTGTTATGCAAACCAGTGTCACATGTACACGTGAAGTTTTTGTCCATTGTAGTGGCATTACAGGCCCCGTGGGCACAAGGATTCGGAACGCATTGTTCTGGTAAGCAAATACCTTTGGGATTCATCTTCATTCCAGCAATACAACTAAGGGGTAAAATTGAGAACCAGAACAAGACGTTGGGAATTTTTGACAAGTAACGAGGAAGAAACTTCATCTGTATAAACGGGGAACGGTTCAATGTATAGATCATAAAGATGTTTTCACAATATCTCAGCTATTTTGCCTATATTGTGTGAGAACAAAAACTTCGGGAGGGGGACGCTCAAGGAGGTTTTATCTCTTACACCCATTAGGCACAACTAAACAAAGCCTAGTTATCAAAACACACATGGGGAGTGAGTCTTCACACAAACCTGGATATAGGAAACGCTGACGCGCGGTCCAAATTTTACCGGAGAATCTCACAGGGGCTACTGGTTCAATACCTGGCTCATCCAATAATACTTTAGGAATATAACACCCACTGACGGTTAACTAAATGTCCCCAACTATCCAGGTCCCCAGAAATGTTCTGATACAGTTAAGCCATGCACTTGGTATTTAGATAAATACTATTTTGAGATGAAGATCAAAGGGAGACTGAAGGAATTTTTACACACTACACGAGTGTGATAAGTCACGGATTGGTCTTCAACCCAAGAGGGTGAATCACAAACCTGAATAATATGCGATCAAACTCTGGTGTATGCATCAGACTAGCACCGCTAGGCTCCACAAGGTAGTGATTGCTCATCATCTGAAAAATCTGAGTATGGTCCTTTTGGATATGACGTGGAACTGATGCCGTCTGAGAGGCCGCAAAAAACCGTAAGAATAACCTACAAGGTGTTTCGCTGACGTGGAATTCCACGGAAGGATTAGGAATTCGTTGCATGACAGCATCAGGTATACATCTAACCGACGAAATTTTTCACTATCAGTCCGCTCCCGTGCTCCAAGTAGTGCGGTGTGGAGGATGATGGAGCGAGTTTAGCTTCTGGGTGGCTATCGGTCGCACAGTTCTCAGATACTCCGATTTCTGAGCAATTTAAGTGCTCGGTAAGCTGTTACTACTCATCAAATATTCATATCCCCTTGCAGGTGGATACTACAGTTGATCTGTACATCTCAGTGTAGTTGATTTTTCATTAAAAATGTAAAATGACACATCAGCAAGGCCGACTTTTGTCCCTTATAAATGACATTTTCGTGGAGAACTTCACTATATGGTTAACTTTGATCACTTGAAGTCTGATTCGGAAAAATAAGTTAATTTTACTATGTTATAGCTGTTATAACTGTGAAAACGCCTTCCTATAAGTTCATTGTTTGTTTCTCTCAAAACTTTTAAAAGTGTTTTTTATGAGTAAACGTCTATACTTCGGACTCACTCGCACCGATATCCTCTCCATTCATCTACGCACACAGCACTTGGGTCACATGGAGGTTTGGGGTCAGAGTTGCACAAACTAATCCCAGCAGAACATGATTGCTGGCGGCCCTGTACAGGCCAGTCAGTGTGTCGCGCGTACCACGGATTTGCGATAACTTCTAGTGGGTAATCGTGCTGAATGTTCCTCCAGTTGCTATCAAAATCCACCCATGCATCATCAAGACAGGCTGCGGGAAGAGGAAGAATTAGACTTCATAAGTACACCTAAGAAAGCTGGGTGAAAACTCGTGTGTTTACCTGGAGATAACAGGTTATGTGGCCGTTATGTGAGCACTCTCGTGAAAAGACCCCTTTAAGCAATGCAAAGTTGAACGGTGACATACAGGGCAAGAATAACTACGATATTACAGTTGGCATCTGATCATTCCCTGGATTCGTCCACAAGCGTCATTTATTAACTGATAAGTTTGCTTCGTTTTCCAAATGTCAAGCAGAATATAAATCTTCCGTCTTCTTGTTATGCAAACTTACCTTTCCCAAAAGAATATGGAGACCAAAGAGTTTTGGAACCCGATCGCTTAGCATAAATTATACTTCACGGTTTTGGCTCTACATACTGAAAAAAATGCATTTTCAGCATTGAGTTTCACATAATTCTACATGAACTCTGAACTTCTAAGTAACTATTCGTTTAGTTTCCACAATAACATTGAGAGAAATACCTACTTCTCTGTTAACTAAAAAGACAGGCAAGTGAACATTCTGGTCCACAGAAACTCCCTCTGGGCAGGTGGAACAATGAATGATAAGGGGATCGACTACCTTTCTCAGGTTGCCATCTTTCTAGATAACACTTCTGTAATAATTTTAGTTTTTACTCAAACATACCTCCATCGGCGTCCCTGGCGATAACCAAGTCTGCAGGACCTGATTTGACCGGCGAGTGGGATACTCGGGATGCCCGATAGAAGTCTTTGTCCAAGCCATCGATCTGTATTTCAATAAAACTGAAAACACGAAAATGCCTTCTAGAACAGGAAAGAAAATTTTCAACACGGCGTCTTTGCCAGTCAACAAATTTTGTCTACCAAAAAATAGACTGGTAGATAGTGGCGTATTATTTCATGATGTTCACGAATGAAGCAAACAGTGATGATTGTGCGCAATGTGGACACTGCTGGCCCATAGTTACAATTTATAACTACTGTTGTTATAATATATTGCCTTTCAAATGTAGATGTTTGAAGAATTCTTGGAAGTAAATCGTGGGAAACACAGGGGCCTCGAGAAGATTTCCTGAATCAGTCATAGTACTGTCTCCTGAAGTTTCAAGGGACACTATTTTGGCACTACTTTGGAAGGAGTAAGTCTACCTAGCCTAGGATAAAGGGGAGAATGATTTGCATTGGGCGCCCCAGACGGACAATGTGCAAACGCAAGGTCAGGTACACGTGAGACAAATAAGAAGCTGTGTGGCTTCACGTAAACTCAAACCTTAGGTGCTTGACATTGTCAGATGCTCGATAGTGGCCAAACATGGAAAGGATTACTAAACATCCAAGTGGGCTTACTAATCCACGTAACGTAGTACGGTAAGCATCAAGTTGGTGTAGCTGGTCTGTTTCATGTATCACGCAACAGTCGTTAGTCAAGCTCCCTCTGAAACAAGAACGTTGACTCAAGATGTTCAAGAAAATACTCACAGAGACAGTTACCGACTTCATTAAGTATTCCATCCTGCAAGTGAAGTCAGTCCATGCTGTTTCGTCCTTATTGCAGTCCTCATCAGCAGTGTACATCTCTCCATTCTCTGGGGAGGTTCGAACCCGTGACATCCTAACTACCAGGTGACTACTGAACCGTTGATTCACGGGCGGTTGTCAGAGAGCTTTAATAGGACATTTTAATAGGACGTTTTCACCGAGATTTAGTCGGTGAAAGAAGCCATCGAGATTGGCCTTACTGGTCTCACTCACGGTGTAATGGCATTACCGTTAACTCAGTCGAGAGGTGGACACTTCTGGTAAGCATGATGACATTCAATTGGCTTTGATTATCTGAACAGTTCTCTAGGTGATAGAAACTCTGGAGCACAATGCTCGCTCTACTTCAGTTATCTCTCCCAATGACCTTTTGTGTTTTCAATCAGTCGGCCTTAGATTTGTCTGCTGTTTGCTCCTGCCTTTTTTGTGACATCTAGTCGTTTACGTAGGTCATAGTATCAAACTCCTTGCACGAGGCCAGGAACTGTCTTGTTTGCTGCACCCGTGTTATCCCATACTAAACATCGATGAAACTGTAAGGTGAGTTTGATCAGAACTGTGAAGAGAATGCATATTCACCTTGGGAAAAATCCGATCTCATACAAGTGCCAGTTGCCATCAGAGACGTTCACTTTCTTTAGTTCAATTGTCACCGCACCAAGTCGCAACTTTGGAATGCCGTAGTTAACCTGTGTGGGAGAGGTGCATGACTCGAGAATGAGGCCAGCTACAGGACATGGGAGAATGTGAAGTTCAACGGAATTGCGGTGTTTCAGGGATAAACAGTCAACAGTGTAGGCACACTCATGCATGATGACAAACTAGCAAAACGACAGGGCAACGGTGGCCAAGAAATGCGACAGCCTACGATATGAAATGTAATCAGTAGACAAGACTATGGATTGATTCCACTTTGTGAATACGTGTAAGCAATGTTTGCACAACTTTTAGATGTGTGGATCGGTTTCTGGGCCTCAATCGACGATATAAGACACAGTGGCTTAAAGGATTTGTGACTACTGTCGTAGCTCGGAGTAACGCTGATCTCTTAGTAGCTTTAAAAAGGGGTACAAAATGAGACAACTAATAAGGATATGGATTTCTGAGCTGAGGATGGCTGGCACAATCTAGAATATTATCGATCGCAGTGATGACTGTTTTCCGACAGTGTACAAAAGTAACTTGTGTGATCTCTGGAACTGAGGTGGCCTACAAAAATTCTGGTTCCACGAAATTGTCTGTCAGAAGCGTCAATCACTTGACTACGTTACCCACTAAGCCATGTACCTCCTTTCCTTTCCACGGAGTTTCCACCCATGATCTGCGCATAAATTTTACACCTGGATTCCGGCAACATATAAATTTATGCTTTATTCTCAAGCTATCCAATATTATAAAACGAGCATTTCTGCCGTTCGTACTTCACCTTAGACCAGCATAATCTTTAGTACGTCATTACCAGACAAAGTCAACAAGCCAACAGTTTGTGGTGCAAATGGGAAAACCGTTGACGTTAGCCAATATTGCATAAGGTTGATTAAAACAAGTTCCCATTCAGTAGGTATTCTGAAAGCCAATGCCCGGCTAAACCACCCAGCAGCCACAAGGACCAGCAGAGCGATGCTTGTGACGGGTGGTGCTCGAGTGTACAAACACGGACACACCGCACTGACGCCACATCGACTGGTGATAAATCGAAGTGCAGTGGTGCTGGAGTGCACAAACACGGACACACCTCTCCTTAACAACGCACTGATGCCACATCGACTGGTGATAAATCGAAGTGCCCAGCTCAGCTAACACACCTCTGTGCTACCTAAATTGCTAACACTGTCCTTGTTACCTTTAGAAATCCCAATCCATTGCTGGCACAAGTAGACTTAGAATTGCCAGTGACCCTCTGTGCTACCTAAGTTGCTAACACTGTCATTGTTACCTTTAGAAATCCCAGTCCATTGCTGGCACAAGTAGACTTAGAATTCCAATGATTGGACTTGTTATAAAAAAGAGGTGCCTAGAAAACAACTCTGATTTAAACTATGTTAGTTAGTGCACTTTCTATCACTCTAACAAAATGTTGTTGGTCGATAGATGTGTGCATACGTGTGTACGTAGATGGTTAGTTTCGGTGCGGTTTGGCGGATAGCGACATAACGCTTGTGTAACAAGAGCAGATTGGTGAGCCTTAGATATGGAAGTTTGCTGTGATATCAGAAACCTGAGGGTTTAAAAAATGAATGAATAAAACTGAGTGACGTCCCTGTTGAGTACGTAAAATGAGAGAATTACATAGTCGTCGAATTACTTTAATGCAAAATCTGTTGTATGTCGCAAATGTTTCTGACCATGTATCTCTTTGTAATGTACTACTCATAAGGTTGCTGGAAATCCGTCAGCAACCTTATGAGTAGTACATTACAAAGATATACATGTATCGCGATATATCGAATATCTTAGCGACTGAAACATAACATGAGGCGGTACAGTTGCCTTAAAACATCACAAACGAGATTCAGCCGGGTTCCTGGTGAGTCTCTCGAAAAATCATATTAGTTTGCAAATGAGTGTATATTCACTAGTTTCTGACCATGATTGAGAAGACTTCACACCTGCCACAAATCACACTGGCATTCTACTTGTGTAGAGTCCATTGATTGCTGTGGTTTGAGAAGCAGGCCACTTGAAGGTTTTAGAGCTTCTTATGCCTGAGTCTGTCATTGGCCCCCCTGCTTAGTCAACATTTACTGCAATTCATCCACAAACACGTTCGCTCAACTCGGCAAAATTAAATCAACCTTAGAAAATAAATAAATAATCTGGAATTCACGTCCTTAAATTATAATGCCAAAGTGACATAAGTGGAAAAGAACCACTTACCGTTAGATGTAAATTCCATGAGGCAACGACAAGTGCTGTGAACGTCATTTTTCGTGTTCGAATACTTACTCGTACGCGAGCCGGGACGATGTCAACGAATCTGGCATTGTATTCAGCCGCGGTGGTTGACCAGGGTACAGAAGCTGTGGAGGAGTGCAAAGATACTTATTAGCAGTCTTTTACTTCCGAGTTTTAAACTGGGAGGCGAAAACATGCCAAAAATCGGTAAATGACGAAACGAGTGCCGCAGACTGATGGCAACGTAGCACTTTCCGCAAAAGATGGTATTTAAAACCGTTATCTTTGTGAAAGACCATCTAACATAGTATCTTAACGCTCAGACACAGTAGGCTGTTAGTCAGCTAAACTGCCTCACTGAAAAGCTTTTCTAATTTATGAGTTCATATCGAAGTTGTCTCTACCGAGCTTCTGACGCTTGTTTACCGTAGGAAAGCACACAGGGGTGCGGTTGGCCGGGAACGTTGTTGGAGACTCCTCATTTAGAACAGCCTCCCTTTAGAAGGATCCGTGAAGGGTCAGTACCGTTACTTGTTCTTCCAGGTTGATGAAGATCTCATAATTGTTTTTGATTTACACAAACCAGCCACTCCAACAGTCTACCAGGTCAAAATAGGCCCTATGTGGAGTCTAAGTAAGAACCAGACTTACTCGCCCCCATATTTACTCTCATGGGAAATGGGTTCAGGTAAACTAATCATCCGTTTCTGGACATAAAACCATGAAATAGTGCGCAAAATATGGTATACTTATTTCTGAAAAAAAGATGTCTAGTAGCCAATCACATGCACCTGAATGTGGGATTGCAAACACTGCCCACATTGGTAGATATTTGATATGGTCTACTGGACACTCAGGTCCTAATTCAGTAGGTCTATCGAAACATGTGCTATTTTCACAAGTCAACTTGGTAAATAAGGCTTACTGGTTGCGGAAACTGCAGCTGTCAAAAATCTCTATATCATGGGTGAAACAATCGGTTCACCCCATTTGAATTTCTCCCACGTTTGGCCATGTTTAATCAAGCATCATTTGGTGGTTCCATTTTGTATGACTAATTCTCCAGTGTGGTAAAGCGACTTTTGTACAAGATTACCACTCTTGTACAGATAGTTCGAGAAACTGTTTGAGCAAACGTTGAAACAAAAGAGTTACTCAGTTCACCAACGAAGACCATTCGTGCTAACACCCTGTCGACCAGTCTTATTTGCTGTTTACGTCAGTGGCTGGTTATCGTTTGAGCCAAAAAAATTCATTCAACTCAATCCCAGGATGTCCGTCAAACAATAATTGTGCTCAGTAGCCTTAGCGGCGATCGCATAGTTATCTTGGCAACCACCCTGTGTTGGGTAGACCGTCTACTGCCTTGTAAACCAAATGGCTTTGCAGTGACTTAATCGCTCCTGCCTCGGTAACCTTAGCGGCGATTCCATAGCCATCTTGGCAACCACCATGTGTTGGGTAGACCGTCTACTGCCTTGCAATGGCTTTGCAGTGACTTAATCGCTCCTGTTTAACCAGATGGAAATCCTTCCCTCTGAATGCGTTGCTTGTGTATTCCGGTTAGCGGTAAATAACTTACGCATTTACGGGAGAAGATCAGCTCCACTACGCTGTCATAAAATTTCCACCGCGAAATACTGGAAAATATGGGGCGAGGTGGCCTATGTGGTTAGAGTGCTAATTTACTGACCGGAAGGTCCGTGGTTCGAACCCGACATCTGCCTCTCGACTTCCCCTGTATAGGCTTGGGAAACCTGGTAGTATCCAAGCCCTCGTACGGCCTTCGGGTGGCATGGCAGTTAGGCACCGAAAGGGTGCTACTGGAGAACATATAAGGCATTCCAAATGCGAGAGATTAGTTATTTAGAATGCTGATTTTACCAGGATAGACATTAGATTTATTAGAAACCCTTATAATATGCAGGTAGATAGTTGACTGTCACCTTAACATCGCCATTTCTCCTGTCTGACCAACAGCGCTAAAAATTGAATATTTTGGTGTTCCAGAAGATTTCAGTGCTGACAGCATTCTTGTCAAGCATTTTGGTAGTCCGTCTTACAGGATCATTCTCGATATACGTAGGTGAACCCCAGGAGAGAGCTTTTAGTTGATCCCTCCAGGCTCTTCCTGACAGTAATGTCTCCTTCAGAACAGATATTTTATAGCTTCTTTCAGACATCTACAAACCCAGTCGTCCTAAATACCAGTGGACAATCGAATAGTTGTCCGAACTTCGGACGGATGAGCGCCAGCCAGGACAAAAAGCGTGGTGGACTGCTCTTCTACTTTGTATGCAGCTTCCACGGTTCACCACTTTTATCACAATGAAGAAAAGCAGTTCGGGGGCCTTGAGTGAGGAACAACTTGGTAGTGTACAACACCCACCAGACGCAACATAATTAGGCAAACGTCGAGCTGGAACTCTTACTGTGGATACACATTTCGATCAGTGGTTAACACCCTTCTCTCAGATCCCAGATAGGTAGTATAGCCACTCAAAGTACCAATATGCCACGTCGAGTTTGGGGAGGTTTACAGGACACAAACGCCTGGTGCGATGAAATTGATAGGTTGTTTATAAGGACCGAAATGACGTTAAAATTAACCGAAGTTAATTTTCCATGATTATGCATCTATGGAATCCGTTTGAAGTAAAGCAGCGTATACTTTGTGTACCACAAAGACAAAGCGATGTTAGGCACTGATTGTTATTCTGTGCATAAACATATGCCTGCGAATAGAGACGATTTTAAGAACCATGATAGGGTCTATGACGTGAATACATTGCAAGGGGTGCTTTCTTAAGGCATTATACTGACAGTCAGAGGTTGTGTTCATTGCTGTTTGTCCGACCGTAAGGTCACTGAATCCCACCCCACTGACACCATCTAATTGCGAATCATATTTATTTTGATGGAAGGCGTGCTTAAACTCCAGTTGCTGGCATGCATAGATTATTCAGCAAACAATGTTTGGATGGCCTTGCATACTTGTTCGAGAACCACAGTGACAGTGAATCTGACAACATCGGTTCGGCTGTTTCTTAAAAGAGATTTGCGACAACGTGATGGGTGTGTTTGAGCCAATCAACGTGTCAAGTTACACACCCATTTTCCAGCACTGTATCTCGTAAGAAGCAGGATTCCTGCGGTTTCTAGGGAACTGTTTTCGCTCTGTGTAGTCAGCTGAAAGAGGTTGTCACGAGCGCGTGGTCCTGACCAGTAGACACAAAAGTTTCGGATTGTAGGAATAATCAGAAGCAGGGTTGAAAGATCAGAGCCACATACACCGCTGATCGGAAAACTAGATGGTTTAGGTCCACAGATGGGCAATGACTTTGAGTTTTGGTTACGCAACAGTGAATGGTACACTTGGATCCCTTCAGGAGTGGTTTATAAGAAACGGATGCGGATGAGCCACGTTTTGACCTCCGCCTTTAGGATTCATATTTGCGCCTTATAGACGTACTGTGGTGTTCGTTCGGTCACACACTATGGTAAATGAGAGCCTAGCCAGTGCCTAAGCAGTTGCAAGGGACCCGCTGGTTAGAATGGACGGTAGACAGAGTGTCAACACAAACCCGTATTAAAGAAGATTATCTCACCAGATGTAGTGAATCAGGCGGACAGTGGGTTCGCCATTGTAGACTATTTTCAAAGCCAAATTCGGCTTTCGGTTAATTTCGGCACCAACTAACAGAATATGCATAAAAATCATCGCAGAATTTCTGCGGTCCCGGTTTCATGTCACTGTGTTTTTTGTCTGTCCATTCAACTCTTCGTCTATGGCATGTTTCATGTACATGTTTCATGTACACACCTGATGAGAGCAAAAGAATCTAAGAAAATAACCTGACACATTTCACCTGTTCCTTTGATTCGAACATTTTCCAGACACCTGAAAAGAATATTGCTAGACTCATTTGCAAATCAGCTTTTTTTTCATGGGAGACTCAAACGAACCCCCCGTTTTTGATATTCTCTAACTAATGTACGAAGGCCGCCTCATGTTTCTGGTCCATTTAGAACATAAAACTGACGCAAACTCGGGGACTGCGCCTACCTGATGAGCTTCAAGTAGGGCAAACACCGGTCGTGGGCTGTCGAAGAATACGCAGCAAATTTATGGGTAGCTCCCTTCATACTGCTAGTACTTACATCAAAGTATTACCTTCCAATTTGGGAAGTTTTGGTCCATCGCAATTCAATTGTGCTGTTTCATTTATGATCTTATTACATTCCTAAGTGGTTGTGTATTCAAATTGTGACCAGTGTTGTACAAATATTTTTGATACAGTCAAATTTAGTCGACGTTTAGTTCAGTGAGTGGAATAATGTATCCTCAAAAATCCAAAAAGTTCCCAATGTCATCAAAAAGTATCTCAGAAAAAGGAATGATTCGCGAGTGGACCGTCTAACTGAAAAGTTCTCACCCGAGATAGTCAACTCTCGACCAAATGATGTGAAGTTTGTCATTGAAAGACGAGTGTTCTTATATCCCGTCTACGTGTGAGGTGATCACACTGCTGATCAGCCCTCACGGCGAAATCCTGCAGTGTTCAGCTACGGGTCGCGGGTTCATACCCTTCTGAGATGCTCACTGCCCAGGATTCCCAGAGGGGATCAGAACAACTATACAGCGCTCCTCATTATTCGCATAGACTGGCCCCGTTTGCCAGACAGACTCTCGACTGAAACTCCCCAGCTTCCTATCAACAAGCAACCTTGAATAGACGAAATGAAGGCTGATAATATGTTCACGAGGTGATATATATATATATATATATATATAACAAAGCTGTACGAGCAAAGCTATTTAACAACTATGGTATTGAATTCCAACACTGGGCGGTGGAAAATATGTTTTCGGTTATGAAAAATGTCACCTCAGTGTTTAGGAGCTAATTTATTACTTGAATAAATTTTGTATTACCTTGGAAGCTGTGTAAAAGCTGTGCAAATTCTCCCGACTGAAACTACCCTCAGGCGGTCAGTAGCCTACTGTAAGTGTCGAACAGCCGACGAATGTTGTGAGAACACTTCAACATCTGGAATGGAGAACCCGCACAAGCACTCCTGAAGAGCACACTTCAGCCAGAAGGTGAAAGGAAGCACCTAAATATGCTTCCACAAACGTACAAAATAACGGCTCAGGCGAGAGTTTTCAATTTGGCCAAGGGGCAAGAGTGTGATGACAAGCACTTCTTTATGTTTTTGTTCAAATAACGAGTTTTGTCTCATTTATTCGGAAGATATTATATGAATCATTTAGCCTAAAATAGCTGTGAGCTGGTACAAAAATAACGCTGTCCGGATGAAGATTAGACTTGATTTTATTTATAATCGTAGCAAACCTTTGCTCAGCAAACTGATAGTATCACATTTGTTGAAGAGAGAAGACTTTCACGTAGGCGTGGTGATAAAAACAGGAGAATCATTTGTGTGTAGTTTAAACCGGGTCAGCTCGAAACTGTATGCGGAATTCTCATAGGCAAACTGTGGTTTTGAAAACGATTTTTTACTGACAGTTCAACAGTCGAGGTTGTGTGACATCAGAAAACCATGTACTAGCCCTCCATTGCTTTCCATGGGGCTTGCCTTGATGGGCTCTATATTACACAGCGTTAAAATCATGCGGAACTGACCAACGCACCACCACGCATGTCTGTTCCGCTTGCTCAGTTATTTTCCTCACCATAGAATCCATGAGGATTTTTAGGCCTACTTTTGAACTTCACTCACAATTTCGGGATATCTTTTGATGAGTTACAATGAGTATTCCAACAGTTCACAGTGTAGAAGAAAGAATATTCTTTTGATTTAGTAACTAGTTTTTCTGTCTTTCGCTAAGGCTATACATCATCATGCTAAACTCAGAGACTTAGCATAAAGTGTCCTTGCTCATAGTGTAGAATAGTCAAATATTTGTCAGAAATTAGAAATTTCAGAGCGAAAATAATGTACTGTATTATGGCATCATATGATATTTATGTCCGTCTGTGGCTGCGGCGTTTAGAAGAATAAACCGGAACGTTCCGCTGAAATCGAGTTAGTCTAAACTTTTCTTTCTACCACGGTCTATTCACTTCGAAAACCACAACACGTAATCAGGAAAGGAGAGCGAAATATTGATCCACCTGTTACGGATTTGACAACTGAATTGTGTTGATTACTCAGTGGAACTGCTTCGTTAGTTGGGATTTTGCTTTCCATGGGTACCCCCAAGCGTTTGGCTGCTAGCATTTTTCAGGCATTCGTAGGTTTCAGTTTCTTGGAACTAATAGGGAGCAGTACTCGTTTTATCAATGAAGGTTACATCAGGGACCTTAACACCTATAACTTATGAATGAATGGGACCTTACGTAGGATAAAAATAAACTAATGCAGACTGTCAAGTCAAATAGACTAGCCAGCACCATGCTTACCATCAAAGTGTCGTCTGGTGCCAGGTATCCGTACACCGTGGAAACAATAATGAAAAATATTGAAAGTACGTATACAGTGAGCAAGTCTCTTCAACGAGTGAAAAATTCTGGTCATATTTCAGCTCGTTGGAGAGTACCTGAAATTTTTATTATCCAGAAGAACCAACAATTTTGCTTGGTTTTCTTAATTTTGCGTGTAGGATGACCCACCACAATGGGCTGTCATTGTACACGGACGTGTGTTTGTCAGAATATGATGCGCGCATAACCCAGCCAGAAGTCTAAACTTAAGGTATGTTTGTAAGAAATAAACCACCACAGAAACCCCATTTCACCGTAGATTTTAACAAAGTCCCGTGTCAATTGAAGTCAAGATAACAACAAGTGTATAAAATTACTCCCTGGCTACTCCCTGGCTACCCAGTATTTCGGACTTATGATGGTCTTGTGAGTAGAGTTTTACGTCTAGACGGAATAAAATAAGGCTTTCCCTACCTCTTTCACACGGCCATCGGTCCGGATTGAGAGGAGGTGAGGCATTTGGTTTGTATCCCGGATAGCAAAGACATGTTAGCATGTCTGTGGCGCTCAGAGCATTGTGACACATTCCATACGGACCGCAGACCTTTTTGTCACCTTGTTTACATCCCTGTTCGGCTTTTTGACACCCTCGCTTTGAAGGCTGTTGCCAAAGAACACCGTAGAAATCCAGAACCTGATCAAGATGGAGAAGAAGGGTTCAGGGTATGAGGAAGATCTTAAATAACTACATGATGATGTGGGATATAAATGTGTCATCAGACAAAATATTGGTGGTCTATTTGTTTATCCCGTGCAGGGCGGATAAGGATCGAACAAAGAGTAGCACTTGGATAGCACATGCATTTTGACTATGCGTTTGCTACCGAGAAGCATAAATTTTTACTACTCTAGAATTTCGGTGTTGCGGATGGCCAAAGGTCACACAATAGAAAAGTAGCTGAAAGAATTGACACAGAAACTGGATCAATATACCAACGCGGACGCAAGATATGTTAACACATCCACACATATCAATCTGTTTGGGTCAAAATTAAAATGAACTTTGTTCACTCTGGACAGAGCCCACCTCTTTTTGAAGTTGTTTTTTTAACACACGCACCTCATTTCATATGCTGAGTCTTGACTGAGGAGGGGACTGTTTACTTATCTGTGTACATGCTGTCCCTTGACAGGTTTATTAACACAGTTTCAATCGGCTATTGTTAAAAAAAGAATAACCGTACCGTATTCGGTAGAAATGAGGTCAACCATAATGAGCGATGGGTGTGGCATCTGCGTAGATCAATAAGTGGCGGAAGGTCACAACTATAATATCAGTTTTTTCAACGCTTCTGTCACTGTGGTCGGGTTGTGTCTATCGCTTGAAGGATTCATTCACGGAGATTCGGTGACATTTGTCACAACTGTGGTCCATGTTGGTTAATTCCGTTTGGAGCGATTTTTTCTATCTCTTGAAAGATCTCATTCGAAAGTTCAAGGAATAATCCCTTCTGATTCAAGGTCATGTTTTAGATGTTTAGATGTTTAGATTATGTTTAGATTCCTTCTCTCCGGATGTCCCACCGTGTTTATGTTGAGGTCACGGTCAGCCTCACTTTAAAAGTATAATCTCTTGATTAGATTAAATGAACCAGGATGCCAAATTAGGTACTTTTGGATCGTAGCACAGTTTTTCTGTCCATCGCTACTTGAATGCAGTGCAGCGATGTACATTTGGGGATACCTGGATGCCTAAATCAGTCGGTGACTGCATACCAACTCACTTCTTCATTGATCATTATTTTATCCAAACAGCCATCAAAACTTTTCAGCGTGGCACCGGGTTCTGCTCCCAATTGAACTGTTGGTCCAAATTCGAAGGAGAGTGGGCTTGTATCAACCGTTTTATGGAGTTGGCATAAGGCAGCGGCGCTATTCCGGCACCGATCTAGGAGAAAATATACTGCAAGTTTGCCCTGTGCCTGAACAGTGAGGAAAAAACAGGGTAATTATGTTAGCCAAAGTAAACAACACATTGTTTGTTCTATGTAGCTGTCTGATTTGAAAGGGCTTTGCAGAAAAATTTTTGTTCGGGAAAATTAATGGAATTCATTTAGCAGAGCGTTCTTATTTTGTGTACCCAGTTTTCGCCAAAAACTGAAGGCACCATTAAAATAAGAGGTGTCATGGGTGGTAGGAGTTTGAAAACATCAAACTTGAAATAAGTCACGAGTAAGATAGTCGTTTTTTACAATTAGAAGTTTATCGTTCAGCAAAATGCAGCTGAATCGGACATTTGTGAATGCTCCAATCATGCCAGTGATATTTACCATCCAGTTTACACGAAGTAGGCATTATTCAATTCTGGTAGTTCTGGCGTGCCCATAGAATCGGAAGATTTCCACGCCCTGTAACCATCGATTGCAGTGGCGCACACTGTGTGTACGTGTTTCCTAACGGGTCACTAAAGCGTGACAAGCGGAATTCTCTGGTAAACTCCAGATGGCTAGGTGGAACGTACTGCTTGTTTACCGAGATACAGCGCGGGCTACGAACCATTCCACTTAATCCAGGACTGGTCTTGTTTACTGTAAATCCCATAGAAGGGCACATTTGGCTACCAGCCATGGAACACTACAGCTAAGATAAGATGTACAAACCAGCTGGGCTACATCTTTGTCAAGGTTTTGGTAAGGTCGAAGCCACATAAAATACCTTAATTTTCAGACGTACAAACCAGTTGGGCCACATCTTTGTCAAGGTTTTGGCAAGGTCGAAGCCACATAAAATACCCTAATTTTCTAGCTGGTACCATAGCGCCAGCGCTACCCTACGGATGCTCTTTGCGCATTTAGATAATTTTCGAAACCTCCGAAACCGTACCCTCCAAGTTGATGATGCCGTTCATATGGATTATACAGTCCGACAAACGTGGCTGGCAAACTAACCAGAAAAATTCGATGGTCCCTAAAGTGCCACCTGACCAGGTATTTTCTGTTCCGCTGGCTAGGCTAATATAAAGCTTGACAAAACTTAGCTTCGAGAAATCCATAGACCTGAATAAGCGAACGATTTTCAGAGCTTTTAGAGTGAAGCAGATTCTTTAGTTGGCCTTCTATTTTCAGAGTACTTGAAAGTATGAAGTTGCAGTAGCTGCGACAACGTCGGAATCTCACCGTTTGAACGCCAGTATCTGGTAAAATTTATCATCGCGTAAAGTCAACTACTTGGGCTTTGTTAGTAGTATAAACAAAATGGCAATTTCATGGAAATATTTCGAGCCAAATTGGATGAGGGGATGTCAGTAGGCTGCGAATTGTTAGATTCTCAACTTTTGAGTACTCTGAACATAAGCTCACAACTAATGCCCCAAAAGATTTGGATAATCTGAGGGGTCGGCAGCTGTGCTGTTATCACTGTTAAGGCAGGAGCAGCAGCTGAGTATGCAGGTCACTGGCGGATTAAGGTGTAATAAGCAATATCAAAACGGTGAATAGAAATAGAGGTATTACTGGCTTTAGGAACGAAATGGCTGTGGTTTATCGATATACCTGAACATCCCATACCGATTGACTACGAGTTTTACTCAGTGCCGTAGAAGACGAAGGCACGTATTAGTTTTTTCACAGGAAAGCAACGCAAATTCAACGGGACCGTTCTCCCTCCACATCTTCATAATTGTGCCTGATTTCTGTGATGGAGTTTTCGGTGTTCTGAAAGTTTGACTTCGGCATGCAACTGTGATATCAATTTATGTATCCGGTTGACAAATTATTGCGTATCTGCATTTGCTGTAACACTTGTTTTCCCTATTCAGAACAGAGAAGTCTTGGTCTCAAGCCGACCAAAATACACAAACCTGTTTACACCCGAATTATCCATGGAACAACCCTATGCTATCACCTGCAACGTTACATTATGCAAGTTTTTTTCCGGAAACTGATTACAAGTCAGTTGTTTACCTGTGATTACCAATGAGGAATGGATATTTCAAACCATTTGTTCAGTGACGCACGATTCAAATTCAGTTTCAATAAACCTCACACCAGTAACTCTGTAAGCACTTGTTTTTCACCGGAGAGAGTAAGGAAATCGTGGTCTATAAAACTTTGACAGACAATCCAAAATGTGCATTGGCTCATTTTTCGCACACATACTAAAAATTATACATATATTCTCAGTGGAGAGATGGTTTTTTAATCACGATTAAGGGTGTTTCCTAACTACCCGGCGAGCCCCTAGTTAGATATGTGGAATCTCTTCAATTCAGATCATACAACTATGGTCCTATTACCAAAGCTGGACACCTAAAGTTAAAGGCGAGTTTGCTTCAGTCAAACAAAACATAATGACTGCCTATGATACGTCTGAAGCGTCATGGCTTATTTTTCCGAAGTTGTTTGAAACTCTTTTCCAATTCAGTTTCATAGAATTTAGAAAGCCGAGTACTGTTGAACAAATGTACTGCTCATCCAGTCCGATTAGTAGGCTGTAGAGTTATCGATTCGGTTTGTTATCCCATCTACTCAGTTACCTCTTGGTTTGAGAGTATTAATGAGCGTTTAGATTTGTCCGTTATTTGCGACGATCCAGGAAAGTGTGCATCTGTGTCCACTCAGAATCAAATCAATCAGGAAGCTTTTGCCCACAAGGAAAAGTGATGAACCAATGCTTTTCACTAGTCTAACTAGGTTTGCCTATTTTCCCGGGCGTTTTGTGCACAATAGCCGATGGAATTCTTCAGCCGAACGATAGAATAAATCCGACCTTGTGGCTTATTTTTGAGTGAGTCACCATGCTGACATGGCAGTCTCAGCTAACAGGATACGTCAAAAGGCCGATTGTCAAGGCAAATTAAACGCATTGTGACAGCGTACGCTTTGGGGCTAAGAGGCCTACAAGGAAAAGAAAACAAATGATTCGGACAAACAAAATGATATATAATCGGATGACACATCAGTGTCACCGAAACAGGTACGCCGGAACTTTTCAACAAGCAGTTCGAAGTGATGTGTTGTATTTGAATTCCAATCCAGACTTAGGTTAGGAATTTTAGCTGTTGCATCGCAGCCAGGTAGGAATCCGGGTAACGTACTCTGACACTTTGAAGTAAAGTATCAAAAAGCAAAGCATCCGGACATTCTATTTGACAGTGTTTGGGATTTTCTGTCTTCATTTCTATAGTACTCCTGGTAGTTCCGCCAAAGCCAGCCGTTTGCTTGACCGCCTGCGCAATCCGTTGCTGTCACTTTCAACAAAGGATTTCAGTCTAAATTTGATGAGAATGTGGCCATATCAGACTGTATGGATCTGTGGTGTTCTGCCCCCTGGGCTTGACAGTATACCTGCAAACGTATTATCACCAGTCCACGTAGTATCATCAGTATGGGTTACATCAATGTGACATCACTGTTCGGCAGTCCACCGGTGTGAAGGCGTTGAACTATGTTATGTTTGTATATTTTTCCATCCCGTTGGCCATAGGCTAACCTTTGATGATATTTGGTCGTCTGAAGGACTGACCACGTTCGACGATTCGTAGACCTATCCTCTGGTTGGTTGAAGCCCAGTTGAGGGTCTTTGACGTCTTGTGACCTGACTTGCGCGGCTTGTTCCACTTTGCATTTGTACTGCTAATTCTATTGTTGGTGTGTTGTTTGGCTGATCTCTCCGTGAGGCACTTGGTTTGCTTCGGTTTATCCGATTGCTTTGACGATTCTTTACATGCAGCGGTGCATAGTTTGCACCGGTTGACATCATATATATATATATATATATATATATATATATATATATAAACTTTCTGGCCAAGAGTGCAGGTGATAATGAACCTTCTCACAATGCACGAACGTCATTTTCCTTGATTGCTTTAGCCTCTCTCAGAATTGACATGGGGACAATAGATCGTCCTTTCATCTGCGTAGACCATTTTCCTCCAGTTCATCGAATATAGTGTTTATGAGACCCAGTGCACTTGATTCCGTTTTTTTGGTTCTCATTGGTCCTGTTGGTCGTCTTAGTGTAATAGTTTGCCTCTGGGCTTGTGGGCTTGTGCAATTTGTTATGGTTGCAGTAACTTGTTGTGAGTTGAGCTATATTCCTGAAATACGGACGAACAACCCAACTCCTTCCTTATTCGCTTTTTTTTGCTTCTGCTGCCTGGAGATCATTTTCTCTAGGCTTCTAATGGACATTTGTGTATCGAACTCTTCGTTCTTCGTTCCCTCTCAGTTCAACAGATCTACAATGTGCATCTGCTCCTCTAAAAAGTGCTTGGATTCAACAAACATTGGCTAGTAGTCTAGTATCTAGTTCGTGTGTGTCTGTTAATGAAGCCAAGTGTGATTAGCCTTCTCCGCATTCCTGAAAATGCGTTGATGAAGACGGAAGTTGATTGTTCTGCTCAAGAGATATCGCAATCAAGGGTTCAAAACCGTTCATATATATATTCCGTATTCTTGTTTGTTTTACCTGAAGAGCGAATATAGAGTTTAGCGTTCTGCATGCAGATTGAGACGCGCCCCAGTACGAATAATTGACCATCAAGTTAACCAGAAAATTTAAAAGTATATCCAAAATGGCATATTCAGCCACTTGGAACCAGCAGTCTTACGGAGGAATCAACCAGAAAAAATGCTAACACTAGAATCGGCGGCACAGAGGCAACTATCGAGGGAGAGAGCCACAGAGATCAAGGTGAAAAGACTTCAAAATAGCTGGTCAAATATCAACCAAAATGACTGATCGTTCAGTTATTGAAGAACAGCCTCCGACCAACGGGACATAGGAACACAACAACACAGCATAGTTCAACACCTCCACACCAATGCGCCACTGAACACTGCCGCCACCTTAATGTACCTGATGCTGATGACAAAACTTTGCAAGGACGTTGTCGGGCTTAGCAAATAGAACATTAGCCAGGATTTTATGTCCCGTTTTTTCTATGTACAGTATACACTTTGACAGAAAAGCTTTACCGTGACATGAGTCACTTTATTGAGAGTGGACCCTAACTTGGCCTATTAGCATGATGATAAATGGGTACCATGCTTACATTTATAATCAAGATATCTTTCTTCTTGAGTGAGGTCCCAATATTCCTGCACGCATAATGTTTGCCGTAATTCAGTTAGATGTGGAGAAATGAGAGCACTTTGGAACCTGTGACAACACCCAGACAGCTGAATATACCGTAAACAGGAAAGCCATCATTACTCATAAGGTTGCTGAAAATTCGTCGGCAGCCCACGACGGGTTTCGCCCTTCTTGGGGCTCATCAGGTAGGCGGATCCCCAAGTTTCCACCAACCTTATGTTCTACTTGTAACCAAATTGCACGAAATTAGCGGAGTGCACTCATTTACAAACCAATTTGTTTTTCTTCGAGAGACACACCTGGAACCCAGCTGAATCTCTCGTTTGTGATATTTCCAGGCTACTGTTTCAGCAACCTTATGAGTAGTACATTACAAAGATATACATGTATCGCGATATCTCGAATATCGTAGCGACTGAAACATGAGGCGGCCTTGTGCAGCACATTCAGTTGCCTGCAAACATCACGAACGAGAGATTCAGCTGGGTTCAGATGAATCTCTCGAAAAACCAAGTAAGTTTGCAAAATGAATGTATTCCACTAGAAAAGTGATCACTTATACAAAGGAACCTGTGGTCAATCAGAGAAAAGAAACCGTCACTAACAAACGAAGTAGTTGTGGAGGAGGATGGTAGATAGAGAAATGATTTTTTGACTGACAGAAGACCCAGTATATTCTCTGCCCAATGTTAAGCAACGCTGCTGGTATTTTTTTGAGATGTGGTCAATCTAAGTGGTGTCGTGGTCAGAGATACACCGTTTCAGATCTATTTTAGTTTTGATGAAGTATGGTGAATATAGTCAATGATGGGTATAGTGATTCTGTTTTTTTTTCTTGAATCGGTTGATACAGATGCATCGGCCAGTTTGCATTAACTAAAGAGAATGCAAGTGACCCCAAACAAAATAGTCATCATTCTCACTCTGCTAATAGCGGCAAAATCACTGCAAACTGCGAATAGTTGAAGCGATCAACATGTAAGTTCAAACAAGTGAGGGAAGATTGGTCGATTCACACACGAGTAATCGGGCAAATGATACTTATTCCCTATTTACACCGTTTTAGTTTGAACGGATCAGTTTCTGTCTGGACAAATAGCTTGGCTATGAATTTGTTAGATTCAGTTCCCTGGGCCTCGTCGTTAACATGTGTAATTTTTGGAACCCTCGTCAGCATGGCGGAACATATCACTCAGACGGTGACCAACTTCACCCTCTGAGTCGTGGTGATTCAGATGCCTAAAACTAGCACCGGTGAGGTAGTTGTGGTGTGTATATTTCGTAAATCGGAAATCGGAACGCTGTCCCGAAATCGTGTGTGTTCTGACGAGAATATTGCTGATATCTCACGGTCAAACCGGAGACTTCAGGTTGACAAACGCAAAAAAACAGCTGAGAGTAGAAAACTCACAACTTCTTTTTAACAGCAGCGTATAATTGAACAAAGTAATTCATAAAAACTAAGATTTCTAGAACGACACGGTGTGCTGAGTGGCCCCAGTTATCGGGTGCTGAGAAGCGATGGTAACCTATTTAATTCGGTTACTGAGGCGTACAATGCGATTATTAGGCGAGTGGTCGCCAAGGTTCTCGAGGTGGCCCACAAGATTCACAAAAAATTTGGAGTACGAGTTCGTGCTCGTTTGAAATGCCTAAGATCAAGTGGTGTTATGAAAACACTGCCTTGGCCTTATGTTGGTTTACAACGGAATTTTATTTTCTGAGCTCATTGCAGAGCAGACTTGGTGGTTTACAGAGGCTGCAAACGTTGACTACGCCAATTCCTTTCCCGTAATTCCGAATACTCATAACTGTCTTTTAATTTGCAACAGAAGTGCATGAGAATTATTCTCACAAACAGCCTACGAAGTTTTGCCTGAGCCCCTGGAGAGTAAATGATGTTGGAGTGGGTTCAGCGGATGCCAGTAAGTGGACGGTTTTCAGTAAGCAACAGAGTATGGTGGTTTTCCACAATATTCACTTAGACTATACCGCTCCTAAACATAGGTGGCGCAGTTTTCAATAAGCACCCGACTATACCGCTCCTAAACATAGGTGGCGCCCGCCCAGATTCATCTCAATGCTCTGGAAGACCTGCTTGTTTGTTTGTTCACCAATAAGTGTTGGAAGTCTACAGAATTGTATTCAGTTAGCAAAAGTCACGGTACATTGAGGTAATCGCTGGATTTTCAGGGAATGGCAGCCTATCTGGTAAGCAACTGATTGAACAAGTGATTTTAATTAGCATGAAAAATAAGTCACATCGTGATAAATGGTTCACAACCGCAGTGCAGCATCGAGGATTGTGCAACTGCTCTGGAGATTTTACGGGGGTTAAGCAGTAGACTTATATTATGTCTATACAATCCTGTCGAATGGCATCAGTGCAGTGAACATCAGTTTGAAGTGTCCAGGTAATTTCCAGGGTCACACGTTTGCACAAAAGACTAACTGCACTATGGTGTAAACAAGTTGGAAAACATGTTAAAATCGCTCCGACCTCCTACTGCTTCACCAACAGCATCATCAGAGACAGACATCAGTGTTGACTTTGTTGCTTTAAAGCCGTACAACCATAAAGTTTATCTAGTTACATCTGAGACCTAAGGATGAAAGGAGAAAATAATGGTTGAGGAATGGGACCTCATGATAGCTTATCGCAAGTATTCCAAGATGTCTACACTTCCAACCGCTCAATCAGACAATCTATAAAGAAACTGACAGCACGAGTGCCACTGACATTGATTAGCTCCCCATTTCATGCAACATCTCTAACCAAGTGCAGGTGGGGTCATGTGGACCCCCTACCGGAACAATAAAGCCCAAACTCTTCGTAATCTCGTTCATGCCCTTCTGCTTAGTCATGCATTGTCAAACTCGTGAGTCCCGTTAATCTGAACGAGGCACAGAGAACACTGGTCTTGGTAGACGCTGTTTCAGCAATTTGCATAGAATGACATTGTCAGGACAGCAGGGGAATTATTCAGCAAAGGAAACACAATGATTACTGAATTATTGCATTTTGCTGTTATGAGATTTTGAGATTTGCACAGATGATGAACATTCCGTAGGTTGCATTGAAAATTTTGACTGTCTACTCTGTCGAACACTGGTGAATCAGTACCGCTTCCACTTAAGCTCCAATTAGTTGAGAATAGGGACTAGATTTTGGATGTCTGCCTTTACAGGCAGAACAACGAGTGATATATGTTGCTTTGGTAGGATCGATATGCCTAATAAAACTGAGCAGTAATCAAAGTCTCGTGTGTTAACCTTCCCTGATAGTGAATTACAGTATGGCAAACGGACCAAAAGAAGTACCACAGAAGTATGATGTTCATCCACATCAAAAGGGGGTTCAACAATTTACACATGAATGAGCTAGAAAATTTTGGATAAATTTGCTTGCATTTTCACGGAATCTTAATGGACAAAACTTCAAGGATGAGCAGAATATCGAAAGTTCTATGCTCGAAACCAACAGTGTGAAAATAGTGAGAACCAGACTGAGAAGCTCTTCTAGCAAGACTGATATTGCTTGTGGCGTAATCGTGCGCAATTAAGTCTATGGTAAATAACATAGCTCATGCTTGCCAAAAACAGTGCATTCAAGTGAGTATGCCTCTCATATTTTCAGCCTAAAGTTAGGATAAACCTGTATAAAGCACGGAACGGCAAACCGAAATGGATCACTCACATCTGCCTCAAGAAAAAGGTCAAGATGATGCCATGCGTTGTCATTTGTAACGGCCACCGTCCCGTTGAACTGCATTATCAGCGCGTATCGATTAAGGTTGATTAAGAAGCCCGGGCGGCCAGCGATAAGAAAGAAGCTTATCTGGGCTTGTTTACTCTGTTGAAACAAAGGATAAATTCAAGAATTGATCGGAGGTTGCCAGGCAGTCCTCCATTTGGTTACATCGTATTCGTAGAAAGCAACAAATCAGTTCGTACCTCTCAAGTTTCTACCGACAACAAGGGATTTTTTGCATAACTGCACAAAATGTTTCCCCTGCAGTACGAAAGTTTATGCCTAATGCAGTAATATACTGTTCAAACTCTTTGAAAGTGGCACAAAATGAAGTAGCACGTTGCTGTACCACAAACAGACATTTGCGCTCATTGCTTTTTAGCCAACCTGGGGTGATTATAAAACTTAGGTGATACCATAATCAGTCATCCAGTTTCAGGTTGCCCACTGGTTTTGAAACATTTCATTTGAATTGTGCTGACTTAATTCACGTGCGACTGATTCTAAGGAAAAGTAACCAGTACAAGACCAGTTTTCTAACACATTACGAACCCAAATCAAATTAAGTGTTTGCAGTGCCTGTCTTGGTAAAAAGAGCGCTCTGGAAGACGAGATTCCAGGCTGAATGAGATGGCAAAGCCTAGTTGAAATGGTAATAAAATAGTAAAATATCATCTGTAGCACGCAAAAATCAGTAAGTGAAAAGCACAAATCAGAATCTCATGAGTTGAGTCCCACTGGTTGGAACTCAGCTCAGTAGTTGTCTCAATATCACTGTTGGGCGTCGTGTTGTGGTCCTAAACTAGAGCAAACATCTGAACTGCCCTGGTGTTTAAGGTTGCGTTCAAAAAAGTATCCAAAGTTAAATTTAACATTTAAGTATATTTCTTCAGAACTGATAATTTACATGGTCTAGGGAACCAAGACGTATTGGCAGTAGCCCACAACTTACCGCATTTCGGACACTCAGTAAAGTCCCATTTCCAGTAGGATCGTTTGTGATATACTGCAAGCCAATTCGAAACGAGTGAGTTCTGTTCAGAGTAACCGAAAGCGGACCGTACAACAGTTCTGTCGGAGCGCCTCCAACAGTCACGCGTGTCAACTTACATTGGCGATCCATTTCAGGAAGAACGCAGGTGCAACTGGAGACAGCAAAGTGAAACAGTGAGATTGAAGCACGACCCAGAAACAACTGAATTAGCAACTGTTTGTCTGTATTGCAAGTTTCAAAATAAATTCAGTCAACGGAGCTAAAAGTTGGGCATCTGAAAGGTGAGAACTCTAAAAATTTCGATGACCCTACATACCCTAGAGTGGAACCCTGGCACTTTTGCAGAACCAGAAATTCTTCGGTATGAGGCAGTGTCCTGTACAAAAAATTTCACATTTTCACTTCTCAGATTGGCATCTGAAAGAACTCTAAAAATTTCGATGACCCTACATACCCTAGAGTGGAACCCTGGCACTTTTGCAGAACCAGAAATTCTTCGGTATGGTATGATGTCCTGTACAAAAAATTTCACATTTTCACTTCTCAGATTGTCTTAAGGTCGAATTTCATTCTCCACTGAGTTAGAACAGATCCCCCTGTGATTTTATGAATGATCGATTTGATAACGAGACCAGTTCAACATAGGTCCGAAGTTGAGCAGTAGAATTGTGAACTTAGGCTGAGTGGCTGACTGAAAACATAGCTATTTTGGCGTGACAACCAACGTTTGGCTGTGTACCCAGCCTAGGTTCTGCAGTCGTCATTGGATCGAATGGAAGGCACGGGGTCCATAACATCTGTATCCTTTAGTTGCATATACATGTGAAGGGAGGAAAAAATGCCGAAAGCAGTTCTGTGACAGTCAGTTTTGGTGGTGGAGTAGGGGCGTCATTTTGCAGCATTTGGTCTAAAGCGTCACTTCAAAGGTGTCCGATTTCCGACTTTTATTATTCTGGAGACTTATTGATGCGGAAGATGCGAACCAAAGTCTGTAACGATCTTGGAGATTCAAAATTTTGCTTATCTAGGAGTAGGTTGGTAGACAGTTACTAACCCTTGTCAAGAGGGTTACGAGAAATTACGCCATTTACACCTGTTAAGTCGGAATAATCCAGGTGTGTCCAGTGTGCGCTTGTGTAATAGTAGAAATGCTTCCCCCGCAGGCCTGGAGTACAAACTCCTGGATGCTCTAGTACGAGCACACCTCGAGCCTAATGATTTCCCCTTTTGTGTGCTCGCCAGAACAACTGCTCCAGGACAGGAGGAGGGCCATTAAAACGAAATTGACGTGGAGTGTGAACATGAAATATCAGAGCTTACTGAATGCTCATGCATACCTCTTATGTGTTATGGATAAATGTTCAACATAAGGAGGAGCTCATGTTCCTAGGGCTATCAGAGAACGTGAATTACTTTTCCATGGAAGATAACTGGTCGCATTCGTCACAAGGGAATCGAATATCCATCTAATGCATAACTGGATCTGTTTGGCTTTTTTCGCACATTAGATGACCAGAAATACAAAGAAACTTACCCATAGCGTTCCTCGGAAATGTTCTGTGCGCCACCATTCAAGCAGGATGGTAAATTTTTCGGAGGACTACCCATCACACCAAGGACCAGTGGTAAATGGAGCCAAGCATGAATGACTGCCACAAGAACCGGAACAGTTGGCATCGAAGCCTAACTGTAAGTATCTAGGATAGAAAAGCCAATCGAACGATGATCACCATCTGGAATACTGATGTGATTTCGCAAAATAACAAGGCATGTACTACCCGCATTCTGGTGTCCTGATGGCTAAACCCGGAACTAAACAAAACAGCAAGGTCGAGGTGATGTCACTGTGCACTGTCGAGCAATTGGATCAGTCAGAAGCGACGGGTGAGAAGGTGACTCATCGCTGTGTGTTCATGTACACAAGTGCATGCAAGCGTGGAGCGATTCTGTTCGGAATGAGTGTGTGGGGGGAGGTGACCACTTTCAATAAAGTTGGCGACACGGTACTCTCTGACCGATGCGGGTCGCAAACATTGCCTGACAAATTTGGAAGAATACCGGTCAGCGATGATGAATATTACATGTGACAGGTGGCGTGCGATGAGGTGGACAAGAGAGACGACAGCACCTCCTTCGTCAACGTTTAAGGACAGGAAACAATCAGGTGGTACACGAAAGAACATTGCAGCCAAATGAGCATAGGTCCCAGGACTTGGTACGGTAAGATAAGTGATGAATTTCTCCGGGATTTGGTGCTATGGTTTTTCATTGTCTATTCTGATTGACTAACCGACACTTTGCGATGTTAGCCGACATACAGTTATGCCTAATTTAGTCAGCCGTCCGTAAAACAAACGACTGGTCTAGATTGAGTGAGTCCTCAGCCAGTCATCCCACGATCAACGGACAAATATTCTGAGCTTAGAACGTTTCCCTATTGGCGTCCGCATAATAAATGCATTTACCTACTTATACTAGAGCATCCACCAACACAAGCTGACGAACATTAAGTGATGTGTGAAATACGTTGAAATGAAGCACAGTTGAGAAGCAGGTTATTCAAAACCTACACAAGACAAGTGTAGTCAGTCAGGTCCATCAGAACACTTTCGAGTTACACAAATGTCCAAGGCTTGACATAGAAAGCCAAAATATATACCTGTCATACCGAGTGTGTTCATAACTATGACTAGGTGAATACTACCCAAGTGAAAGGATCTAGTAGTGGAGTTAAACACAGGCGGATTGTGGACATACGACGTTCGAATCACTTTGGTACCGAGTGAAGAAAATGAACAAAATGATTTCCACCAATGTTTTCAGCAGTTTTCAAAATTTGTTTGCATTAACCATTGTTTGTATATCTTTGTGTACCATAAATGTGATGTGAAAGAATTTTTATCGCCTCCTCCAATCACAATGTATTCTTCGTCGACGACAAAAACGAAAATTGTGCGCCATACCACTGGTGAAACGTTATTTAGCAAAAACGGTATTTTTAGATTCAGTGCCATGAATTTAGTGATAAACTCTTGCACATCGCTCTCGAATTTCCCGAATTTATTCCACTGTTTTTGGAACCCCAGACATGTGGGAATTCTGTTAAATCCTGAATTCTCAGAATCCAGAATTTCTAACCTTCCAAATAATTAGGATTGTTGTAAATTTCTCGTCGATGTCACATGTTATTATCGGTCAATCGTGTAAGAAAACCCGAATCACCTGAATAAATTTCTGCTCGTGAATCTTAAAAGGGGCTGATAGTTTTGGTACTTGAACGACTTTTATTGTATAGCTAAAAAAGTCGCTCAAGGCAGCATCTTCCAAAAGTGCTTTGCTCGATGATACCCATTACTCTTCCTGAAGTGTGAAATTGTGACGAACTTTGTAGCATAGCATTTCAAACTCATTTGTAGTGTCTATCTGCTTCTTTTGGACAACCATTCGGACAACCATTTGAAATTCCTATCTAATTTTCATAAGGGAAACTACTCACAAGGTTGCCGAAAACTCAACGACGGCCCACCACCGGTTTTGCCCTTCTTGGAGCTCATCAGATAGGTGCAGTTCCCGAGTTTCAGTGAACCTTATGTTCTATTTGAATCCCAATAGGACTGTTTTCGAGAAATACACTCATTTGCAAATCAATTTGTTTTTTACGAGACTCAACTGAATCTCTCGTTTATGATGTTCTACAACTGAATGTGCTGCACACAGGCCGCCTCATGTTTCAGTTGGCACGATATTGGCACGATATTCCTGTTTAATTTACCCAAGGGGCATAAACACTTGATCAGCAACTCTCCGTTTGGTTCATGCTAAACTTCTTGGGTGTTTAAGACCCGAGAAGTGACTGCATTTGACGCACATTAAACAGTAGAGTAGGCTTCGACAAATACTCCCATTTGCAAACAAACTTGGTTTTGACGGGAGAATCGACAGAATCCAGATTGGACCCTAGTTTTTGACGGTCCGCTTCAACAGAATGCTGAACCNGAGGGTCCGCTTCAACAGAGTGCTGACCCGGGCCGCCTCATTTTTCAGCTGGTGCGATATTAGAGATATCGCATTAAGTTGTTTATATTTAACACACTACTCACAGAGTTGCATGAAACCCTTTGATAGCCCATCTAGTATACTCAGTTGAAGCGGACCAACAGAAACAAGGGATTCAGCTAGATACAGTTGAGTCTTCTGTCGAAACCAAATTTGTGAACATTATTTGTCGAGATCGGTCCAATGTAGGCTTAAGTTGAACACAATGCTGACGGGACCTCCTGGAATGTGCTTCCCTGATGAGCTCCAAAAATGGCTGTTGAAAGGCTTTTAGCAACCTTCCGAGTGTCCCATTACGTCTAAAGAATAGAAGGCTGTTTGATGGTCTTTCCAACCACAAACCTAGCACGCACTTGTGTTTCTTCGGCTGCGGGTAGAACGTCTTTGTTGACTGGACTTATCATGGTCTCATTTTCGCAACTCAAAACTCCCTATCAGGCTTCCCTGATGAGCTCCAAAAAGGGCTGTTGAAAGGCTTTTAGCAACCTTCCGAGTGTCCCATTACGTCTAAAGAATAGAAGGCTGTTTGATGGTCTTTCCAACCACAAACCTAGCGCGCACTTGTGTTTCTTTGGCTGCGGGTAGAACGTCTTTGCTGACTGGATTTATCATGGTCTCATTTTCGCAACTCAAAACTCCCTATCAGAAACTGTGGCAACTTGTGTGCTGACCTAGCTAGTTAGATTTTGTGGTGATTAAACTAAAGACGCAAACTGATGTGAACCTTGGAGAATTTAGAACGAAAATTTCAACGAATGGAAACGACACAAACACAGGGATGATTACGTTTTCATTATTCCTTCTTTGAACGTTAGAAGGACAAGTGTGCTCGACAAAAGCAAGACTAGTTGTAAAATTCAGCGACCATATTGATTACAATCCAATCTCTTGAGAAGGGACTGTAATCAAATAATTCCTCAAAAAATATATTTTGAGGCGGATTCTTAGGGATTCTGCAGTTCAAAGGAAGCTTGAGGGAACCCATTATTTTATGCTGAGGTCTGAAATGTGCAGAGGGAGCCCAACTAAATATGTGGGATCTTCACATATGTTTTGCCAAATATACAAAATTTACGGGAGCCCTGAGACTGAGTTGCAACTCAGCGCTTAGATCAAGCGCAACAAGAGGATTGTTATAAGTTGCTTAGTTGGTGGTGATGTTGCGGTGATCCAGTCAAGCGTCCCCTCGGACCTGAGGATTTATTAAAACCAGACTGAGGTAGCCAGATTTTCCGATGATACGAAACAGTACTGACTTCAAGCTCCAGTTAAGTCTTCGTAGCAAGAAGCCAGTCAGTTGACTACAGATATAATCTTTTGAACACATGCAGCGTTGCTTACATACCACCTGAAATCTGAAAGGCAAGGCACTCCATACTCATCCGTTCACCGCGTGCCTTTTCTTAACGAACCCACTCCAAGGACAAAAGAGAGAGATAAACAGGCTAATTCTTTTGCTTCACGGCTTCCAACACACTCATTGCTAGGCCTTCTCAGTTAGTCATGAGTTACTAGGCCGTCTGCTGTCATTTCGTGTCGTTCGATGTCTGTTTGAACGAGTTTTCAAAGCAGCGGTCCGAAAGTTTTGATTCCATCTTTATTCCACAGTTTCGTCTCACCAATTTATTTATCACAATGTAACTGGCTCGCCTGTAAGTTGCCAAGGCAACACAAACAATCACCGAGTCTCGGGCTCACACGACTTGTCTTTGTTTACTTTATGGGAAACAGTTCATGCAGTAATCTAATTTCCTATTAGTGATACTGTATGGCATACTTAACTTAGTGCTACTTACGCAAGTTTATTGATTTATGGATGTGTTTATACATACCCATGGTACTCTATTGCAACCACGTGTTTTGATTTTTGTTTATTTTGAGGAAACTAGGACGCCAAGTGAGCTACGGCTTTCCTTGTAGCCATCTGAACTTAGGAGCAGAAGTTAACCGGAAACCTCTTCAGGTGAATATAGAACACATGAACTAGTAGCCTATTTTATCCTAACTGTCATCCCGGAAATGGCCGCATTCCTCTGATTGGAACAAGACCACACCTATTTTTGCCACCAGGTGAACTTGACGCGTTATGAGTTAAAATCCCCCAGCATAGCGACCAATATAAGTTTAAAAAACTAGCCCAGGTGGGCCGCCGATTATGTAAATCGAACTTTACTACCAGCTTCTAGTCGTACAGCACTAAGAACTTCATTACCAAGTGGCCACTTATGGCTTGGTACGGATTACTCGTGGTGGCTTAAGTGGCACAGGAACGTGATCCATCAATTTGTTTTATTGATTAAGCTGGCTGGTCAACCAGAAGAAAAGATGTGCAAGTAAAATTGTAAGAATATTTTTATCTAAAGCAAGTTATTTAAGAAATTTACGTAAGTTTATAGGACAGCCACATCTACTTGGCCCTAAAAACGATGCCCCAGAAGGCGGAACCGCACTTAGTTAGATGAGCAAGGGAGTTTCGGTGTTAATCCTCCAGTTGAAAAGTGATGAACAGTTAAAGAGGAAAATGCGGCTGTTAGCTCACTTTAGGGGACGAGAGTACCGTCACGGACAAGAGAATTTTAAAGAATTACCTGAACTTTGTGCCACCTGAAAGAAAACTGTATCGGTAAGCAAAAAAGAGCTCCTCAAACGTGAATAAGGTCCTCATGGCGGAAACCCGAATCGCACACATCTAGAGTGAAAGCATTTATTGGGTAAAACAAGCCCTTTCGTTTTCTTCTGACTTAATTCTTAATGGCATACAATATTCTAATAATGTTTTCCGTATCTGAGTGTACTGCGGTTGAATTGGGAAATTATATTTCGTGGTAAATTCTCGTGATCACAGGTTTCGTTCGTGTTTGTTCGCTAGTATTTAAGTCGTTCTGCTCCCTTGAAGAAAGTTTAATAGGATTTAGATGAGTAGGAAGCAAGGGGTGCATAGTGAGATCAAAAACTACCAATAATGGTGTATTCTCCAAACGAGCGCTCATCAGGTGTATCTCTAGGGCAGCAATTGTATATTTATTGGTCACCTCAGTAGTAGTAGTTCTCTCATTCAAATTAACGCACACCTGAGAAAAAATTCGCAGACTGCCATGTTAAATAGCTTCCAGCAAGTGTTCTGGATCCGTAAAACGTCATCTGCCGATTGAGTGTCGCCGAAGGGTGAATATGCGAAAATGAGTTTTCACATTACTACATATGGATTTTAAGTTAAAACAGCTTTACGCGCAACAAAAAAATGTAACTAACTGAGTTTCCATCATCACGAAATGGCTGATCCCTGCACCTGATGGCCGCATACATAAAAAAGTGTTTCGATATGTCAGTGTTCCTGGATTGAACATATGCCTAGTAAAACTATAAGGTACGACGGTACGATTTGGTGTCAGCTGTTTACTCTGTCCATGCAAACGTACCAGTCTTGAACTACAAACCCGTCACGTTAACAAGGCTTTCGTCAACACTCCGTAATGTGTTCAAGTTGTTATTCTACTTCTCCAGTTTGCTAAAGCTAGTCAACTGCCGAGGCCCCAGCGTTCAGATTTATACTTGTAAGCACTGTCAGCGAACAGCGATGTCCATTGAATCAGTGATTTTTCCAGGGAATCGGTAAACTGTCACTGAGTCCCGGTGGGTTTTAGTTCCTTGGGGATAAACATATTGATTTTGTGGCCGGCAGTCTGAAAACTGTCAATATCAATCAACTTTGCAATTGGACTGCCATTTAGGTGGTTTGCTCTGAAAGACAGTTACTATGTGAAAACGGCAGTTCAACAATAATCGCGAGTAGTGGAGTGTGAGGAGGCGTCTGTGAAACACGACTATACAGTGCAGCTGATTATCCAATGGGGGGTGTTTCTTTTGAAATTGATACCCTTACTACTGAGCTTGACCATTCTGTGGTGTGGGACAGATGTTACTGATGGAGTGGTTGATGCTGGACAGGCACTTGTGAACCGGGATCCGGACGTACTGGGAGAACTCAGACAGTGAAAAATGTTGCGTCCATGAAGACATATTGTTACCGACACGTTGTTATAAATTGCCACCACAAACTTCTTGAGGCAGCGTCTGCATCGAGTTTTGTATAATATACAACTTGCACCGATAGAACTAGACGCAAATATTGCCAGAAAACCCCAGTGTTAACCGGATATGGTCGGAACCAATGACTTGACAGGCTAGAACAGCCTTACGCATTCACCGGATATTATGTTTACTCTGGGCTAAGTGGAACTTCTTGGGGCTTGAAGAGGCTGTCACGTCTGGGCACAGAAGAGGTGAGCCAGTAGGCTAGTTAGTTTGGATTCGTCTGACGTTGTTCTCAATGTACGGTTTGCTCTTCAAGCTAGTCGAGTCTATCATCACTTAAGTCGTATCTATTAATTTACCTGTCATGCGCGAGAAAAAATGAATAATGGCTGCTTGTTTGGTAAACTGCCAAAGTACACAGTGAAATTGAGAGCAGGTCTACTCTACTCGGAGTTGTGAAAAGCGGTTGGAAAAATGTAGTCTACATGTGCATCTTTGTGACTCATTGTCCTCCAAATTGGGACACCCGGTTAGTGTCTTCTATCTTCATATGATTCCTTGTTTACCACAACGAGGTGGTTGTGGTGGGCAATTTCGGTAATTTGCCTATACCTGAAAATTTCTTGCGAATATTTACTGGGCTCTGTCCACATTCCGAATGGCTACCAACGTGCTG